ACAATTGAAAGATTACCATTGGGTAACATCAACTTTATTTTTTATTACGGCTGAAATTCTTTGGGGCATAGTGTTAACCAAGTTTTGGCAAAAATTTGGTGTAAAACAATCTCATATTTCTTGAAGCTTTTGTCTCATTTCGGTGATTGTACGAGCAGGATGTTGTCGTAGAACCTTTTTCATCTCGTGCCACAAAGTTTCAACAGGTGACAGATTTGAACTGCTAGAAACCCATTTCAAAAGTTTGTTTTCTTTTCTTCCAACAATCTTATCCTTTTTTGAGGTATGGCGCGCTGCACCATCTTGCTGAAACACAAAATCTTGGGCGGATGTCAAACATTCTTCCATCACTGCTAAAAGCGATTCCTCTAAAATTGCCAAATATTTGTTTGTATCCACATTTCCATCAATAAAATGAAGTTTTCCTACTCCTTTTCATGACATACTGCCCCAGACTATAATGGATGTTGAAAATTCCACTTTTCTCTTCAGACAGTCAACATGGAATGCTTCATTTTTTTTGCGAATAACTCTACCGTGACTGTCACCAACACAAACTTCGAATCACTCCATTGTATTGCACACTATTGTTGAGGTGTCCATTGTCTATGTTCTTTATCCAATCTAAGCCGACTTTTCTTTTGCAGTGGAGTTAATAGTGGCTTTTCTTTGACCTATAAACAAGTGGTGCAACTTTAGGATTTTTACTTTTTTTCTTCGGTCGGCATTTGTGATATTATTTTTTTTACATATCGTGGCTTAGTATTAACCGGGCCAGTTACGCTGTATCTTCTAACAATATTTCTCACACTGTACCGCGATCAGTTTAGCAAAGTTGCAATTTCTGAGTTTGATTTCCCAGAATTAACAAAATTAATTATCAGTAACCGAATTTTCTCACTAATAACCTTTCCTCTACCCATTTTGAAAACCTTAACTACCCAAAACTATTTTAAACGTATTCTGACAGCTGTGATTAATAAAAACAATTGTCATGGCTTTTATTTTTCACAGCCACCTATGCGTTATAGACTTATTTTGCATTTAAATGAAAATAGGTTGATATGCTGTAATTGCACCATGTGTTATTTTTATGCTGCAAATTTGATTAGGGAGTGGTAAAGTTGGTGTTTTCTAGTATATATTATCAAAATATTCATTGTTAATCTTTTAAACCTATAACACCCTGATACATTTTTATTATTTGTGTTTGATAAGAAAAAAACTAAGATTTCAATAGTTGGGCCAACTGAAGTGGGAAGGGACTCGTACTTTCCAAGTTATAGACAGGCTCAGGATCAGCGGACATAGACCGAAAGACAGACAGACAGAACAACGGAATGACATACATGTGATATAACTTCCAAAAAACATATCTTATTTTCAAAACGTCTCGGGTTTGCAATACTTCTCCGCCATTGGCGTGTAGGGAAGTAAAAGGGTCATACACCTACAAAGTATAAGCAACGCTACTAAACTAGGTGTACATCTTTTTAGCTGCTTTATCTGTATTCATTGAGTTTAATAGGTTGATATCCTCTTGTGCAAATCAAAAATCTATTTTATTTTCCGTCACGTGTCACAAATAGAAGGGCAATAATGAATTTTACATTTATTTTACATGAGTGAAGCCTGAATGTATATGGTACAGGCCATTTATAGTAATTTAATAACTCTACATAAAATTCTAAAAAATAAAATAAAACACAATTCTATCACAATATGGTAAAAATGTCCTGGTCAGGTATGTCACAGCCGGGTTTGTGCTGGTTCATCCATGGAGGTACATGAAATAATTAAAAAACCAGAGGCCCATATTCGAAAATGATTTACCTGGTAGCATTCAACTTTTTCATTTTCCTTGAATGACCATCAGATGTTTCAAGAGGTCTTTTCAAAGAATTTTTATGTTTAATATACTAGAAAATTGTTAGTCTGATGCATTTGTTAATGATATTTTTGAGGTCAGCATGAAAATTGCAAGGCTGAAAATTTTCAAGCAGTTGTGTCAGACCTGTTTTGAAGGAGGCTTGATCATTAGGCAAATGGGCAAACTTATCCAAAAAACTTTACAGTTTTACGTGAATAACATCTAGTAGATGACTTAGTTTGTCATTTGCGTATGTCAGCCTCTGCTTGTTGTCCTGTTCGTTGAAATGAACATACAACTGTAATGGGGTCAACTCATCAGATAATAATGCTTCCCGACATGTAGGGCATTGGGGGATGTTAACATCACTTTGTGTTGCCGTGAATTTGATACATTTTAGATTCCCTTTCTGTTAATTGATCTTTACTTACTTCTAATTGTGTAAGGCATGAACTCGAAGTGTCTGACAGAAATGTATATTTATCTTGATAATGAGTCTGTACCACAAAATCTCGCTTAGAATAGCAGTGATCTTGTTCAATTCTACTTACATCTGTCAAGTCTTTGGTACTTCTTTTGGCAGGCAATTTACATGGCTTGCTGCCGAAGTTGAAGGAGAATCACAAATGCTTGCTGAGAAACCAACAGAGCATTCCTTCAATGAAACTGCAATATCAGAATGACTAATGGGTTGACTTAGAATCTGACCATCAACATCTTTTGCCACTGCAAGACAGTTCAAACGTGAATAGGGATCCTGAAGCGAAACATGATCAGACAGTACGAGCTGGTCTTCGCAATCATAGTTATAAGATTTTGTACTGGAAGCTAATCCACAGGCATTGTATCATAATTGCCTTTGACAGGGATTTTCTTGGATGGGGGATATGAGTGACTTACATTCAATATGTATTTATTTTGGCACTGCTGTGTCTCTTTCTTGCTTGTTTTTGCCATAGTGTATCAAAAAGATATAAGTGAAACATAATAAATGCCCTGAGCAACTTCACAATATTATCAGAATCAATGTCATGTAGGTACTCATCTGTATTTTTTTAAACCACTCCAATCTTGAATTATGGGTGACAGAAACTGGAAATGAAATTATTGACAATCATTCCTTGAAACACACAATTTATAAAAAAATAATACAGGCACAGAGGAACAGAGTGGAGTGAGAAAATTTTACTCAGGTTTTTTTTTCAAGGTGGACATAAACGCATGCTTAATTAAGGGTTTGATGACATACTCTAAATTCCAATAAATATCAAAAGTAATACTGCTATATTTCATTATCACATCTGACCTATATTAATTATTTCAGAGCAGCACTGTTCCAAGCCACTCCACACGTCGGCACATTTTTAGCGGTAAAGGAAAAATGGCAGCTTGACAGCGGTGACGTTGAAGAAAGACGTATGAAAGACAAGTGACACTATCAAGACAAGTGAGACTATCAATATTGACAGTGTTGCCGGTTGTCTTATTTCTGTAGGTCTCACACTTTTGATAGTGTATACTCGTAGTTGCTATGCTTCCGTTCGTTCGCTGAGAGACCCACCCTACATCATGCTGGTGGGTAGCCAAAAAGCACGAAACAGCTGGATCGGACGCACAAAACCAGAGCAGGTTCCCTTCACAATACAAGATCGGTGAGGATTCCTTTCTATACTCCTTTATGGGAGGTTTTCTCTCCGAATACCACTTTTGGCGGAACAACAGCGGACTGTTTCTCAATGACCTAACTTGCCGCATACTAGAGTTACGTAATAGCGTACTACCTGAGCGGCCGCAAAATTTATCTTTATTCTTTGACAATTTTTTTCAAACATCTATTTCCCGGATCAACATTTGCCAGTCAACAATGAACCAGTCGTTTTTATCGCGAGGCGCCGCGGGCGGAATCGGCAGCCTTGGATCATCGCCGCTGCGACGCGTTATGCTCGTGCGTCAGGCGTCAGCGTCAGATTGAACGCGGACGTGGACGGACGGAAAAAAGCACACGAGGTTCGACGAGCCACGTCGCCTCGTAGTCCCGTAAAATTATATTCTCTTGAACAGCTCGCCGAAAAGAAATCTGGAATCGGTAGGCTTATTAAGTACTTACGTAGTATGTGCTGTTTTGTTATAGGTCTAATAAAACACCTCTGCTACTCGATAAAACACAGTTTATTGTCCTCGAACATTTGCTACTTCACATTAAACCTCTCATCTATCTCCGAAAACATCTACATAACATATATGTATATTAAATCAAAGTTGTAGAAAAATCGTGAATTGTTTTTATTTCAGAAAAAAATAATGTATTGACATATTGATAGTTAATATTTCAGAAATGACAGATATCGAGCATTGCCAAGTTAATTGTTAACATATAACAGTGCCACACTTCCAATAGTTATTTTTCATAAAGTTGCTGTGACTAAAGGCAATCGCATCTCCTTTCAGAGATGTGGAGCGTTCAGTATTGTAGTGGTGGTTGCAGTGTGGGCTATTTTAACCACCTGTAAAGAGCAATTCCATGCTTTATAGATGAGGTAGGTAAAAACCGATGGCGATGACAAATACGAGATTTAGACATGAAGTTGACTGGTGAAAACTGCATCTGCCTATACTATGTGTTTGGTCACGACATACCGATACTTAAGAGTTGTATTTTTCAGCTATTTTTATCGATAAATCTACCCCCCTACAATGTCCTACCTCATCCTCCTTGAAATGGCAGCCATTTTTATTTTTACGTTACGATTACGGTAGTGCATGTATGAAAATTGTAATAACTGAGTACCTAATTGTCACAGAATGATAAATTTGATGTCATGTCATGTCATTTGATCGATGACATGTTGTCCTAGCGATTATTCATAATAACCGTCAAAACTACTTGAAAACAGACAAAAACAGAAAAAAATTTGGAATAAAATTGATTATTTTGTGTATTTCCCCACACCATTCAAAAACTAGTCTGTGAAGTTGTATTTTTTTTGTGCTAATTCTATAGCTTTTTGTTATCCTAAGTATTCTACATTAAGCAATAAATGCTATCTAATATGGGTGAAAAAGGGTGTAATAAAATGCAAATTGTTTTCAAACTTTTTATACATAAAAATGACAAATCAATGTTCCTTATAGAGAGTCTGGACATGTTTAATGTTACAGAAGCTGTTCAAAATGTCTTCCGTTATTGGTTATGCACATTGTTGTTCTTAAAACAATGTGTCTTGTTGAGCGGTAGTACATATCCGTGACAGCCCTAATTTCGTTCGCAGCGGTATGGATCCATTTCAAGTGGGTGAGGTATGACATTGTCGATAAAAGTAGCTGAAAAATATCCCCCTGTAATACATATGTCGTGACTAATCAGATTGTATATATTATCACTATTTCAAAATATCCAGTATTACAGTGTTTGTTACTCGGTAGCGGACATCTTCAAATGGTAATATCTCATACTTTATAAAGGTAATTATCATGATTTCTACCCCATAAACTGGCCTTTTTCCTGATGCATTTATATACCAATGTGTCTACTGGCGGGCATCACGTACTTGTAAAAGTTAGACACAGGCTTATTTAAATCTGTTCATTTACTAAAACAAGCAAAGGCTGCGATATCTGTCGTAAAATATTATCAGGATTTTAGTTTTAGTTTTATCGGACTATCCGGTTTTGTGATATCATCTCGCCAAATCGACGCGACGCAGAAGCAACACGACGTCCTTTCCATATCGCCAATTTGCAGTGGCTACGGATTTAGGGATACGTGAAGCAGGGACGTAGCTATAGGGCAACGGGGTAACATAAATGCTTACTTATTTTCTCCTGAAGTAGCTCTCAAGGCCAACCGCTTTTGCTATAGTAAGTGTATATTTTGGTTAGTATATGTTTTTATGAATACGATCTCAAGTACAACCTATGTTGAGGCGTGAAGCCCCGCTGTGGCGACGACATAGGCTACGTTGGTTAAAGTTGTTCACCTGTGGTTCTGTGAATCACAACTATTATTATAACTGACCAGCTGTTGGAAAAAGCTGCAGAGGCCAAAATATTATTGTGTTCGCAAAAAATCCGTAAATGAAATAGATTTTTTAAATGACCATCACGTCACTCATTTCCGTTGGTCTGTATGCGTTTCGGTTTTCTCTGTCGATCTGTCCGATTATATCCTTGATCCGACAATAACTTGGAAAGTATCGCTCGGATTCTGATAAGACCGACACAAGGTTACTGTTAAGCCAAAGACAAAAAAGCTTTGTAGATTTTGGAAATCGATGTGGAGGCAGCGGAGTTACAGACAAGAAACTAAAGAAGTAAAAATTGCCTAACTTCATTCCATCACGCTTCAGAGACATACAGGTAAATAATTTTGATGAGTAAAAAGTTGGAGGTGAGGCTGCAAGGGATGAGAGAGAGAGAGAGAGAGCATCTCTCAATATCTTTGGTGTTAATATATTTGTACGCTCCATATGAAGGAAGAACCTCGCTATTATGCTCAGACTGTTCAGTGATGTTCACGAACGCAATACCAAATTCAAGAGTAAACTAGTGCCAGAATACTCCCGGCTAACAGATTGTCAGAAGTCTTCGAGTACCAGGACATAAAATTTGAATAAATTTGAATTTGAGTCCTGATCGTAACGTTGCCGTTTCCTGTTACATGGGTGGGCGTTAATAGTATGAGACTGGCTTGGTCAACTTAATTAATCTTCTATGTTCTTAGTTAACTTTTTCTGAAAGGATCTAATGTTTTATGAACTGATAGAAAAAACTGGCTGCTGCATTGTCAGCTAAAAGCTTTTTCACAATTTGTCTGGATACGATAAAATTATGGTGGTACCTAGCTCAACTTATTATTGATATTTTCGCACGTCACTGATCATGGTACTTCTGCAAGTACTGGCTGGCGACGAGGGCACAACGGCGGCATATTTAGCATAAAGGATAAAGGCGAGAGGTGGAATCAACAGGTAGCCAAAAATAATGACGGTCCTCGCCGTCTCGGCTCGGTCGAAGCTGGCGGTGCTTTCGCCTGCCGCATTAAATCCTGCTCTATGTCGCCGCATGGAACACCAGACTCGAGGCCACTCGACCAAGCACGAACGTGGCCTGGGAACGCGCCGAAACCAGCGTCTCATGTTTGCTTTAACAGGGATGGAGTCAGACCTGAGAAAATATTTAGAAATAAATATATGAAATTATATATTTTCCGTTTATTTTCTCTAGACTTCATCGATATTTTCCGAGAAGATATTTTGTTGTCAAAACGAATGGAAGAACAATTTCCCTCGAGTTTTAAAAAGTTAAAGTAATAGAGGCAAATAGTATCTACGATATCTTTCTGACATTTTGGGTAACATCAGTTCTTATCTCACCCTTCTAAAGGGGGCACTAACAAAACAATATCTTACTAGCTTACTACGATCCTAATTCTAAATCTTTGCTCAAATTTCAGCGAACTATTCCTTGCCATGCTTGATGATTCTGTAGTCTGTACTTGAAAACTGCGCTGATATTTGTTTGACCTGACAATTTCGAACGTATTGGTAGTAGGTGGTAGGCATATAGCTTGAGTTGATCGGACTCAGTGAACTAAAAAGACGAATCTTTGTCATTTCATAGGAAGTTGTCCTCAGGGGGTGGGGGGTGATGTTTATACCAGTGTTGTTCCGAGCGTTCTTTGGGCCGTAATAATTGTCTTTCATAATGGATAATAAATCTGCAGCCATTGGTAACGCATGTCACGCAAGAAATTGCAATAGATTTACAGGGAACAGTAATCGATTACCAGCCTATATTTTGAAGTACATTTTTAAAACAACACAACAAATGCTGCTTATATTAACTATGCTCAATCTGGAGAGGCCCAACTTCCCGCCATTTTAGATGTATATATACTGTATTGATCTGTCAACGAAGGAATAGAGTAGAACGTGTGCAGTCGAGTTGAGCTCAGGTGCTGTGCATATGTTGTCAACTGACTCATATTTCTTGTGCTGAATGTGTTTATTTTTTAAAAATGTTTGTTTTCCTGTTTTGTTTTCTATTAAAACGTTAAATTTTTTTAATGTGTTTTATTCCTCATCTTTATTTATTTATTTAAGTCGTTGACGATTTTCCTCACGTATTTCAGACTTTGAATTAAGTGCTTAGAGACTTTTCATTCAGATGTTGGTGAGCTTGGCACTCTTCTGATTTGGCATGTCAAACAAATGCTTGTTGATGCCTGTCACTTTTTCCAATAAAAAACACGAGACGTGACATACGCTCTGAACACAAACTACAAACGCTTTCGTAATTCGTATACGGAATACAAAGCATGGAAACTAATCTGGATTAGGCGCCCATTTTAAGTGAACTATGTATCATCAAAAAAGTAAGCCAATTATGTTTGATATAAAGTACAGTACGTATTACCCAGATAGCATCAGCGGAGGAAAAAAAAACTGATTATATTATTTCTTCACAGATGGCGCCAGCAGCTATTAGGAAAGAATAGTAATAGAAATCATGCTGATATTAATAGGTAATATAAATTTTCTAATAGTAATAGTGTACAACACTGGTTTATACGCTTCTAGCTCCGGTAATGCTACTTAGAGTTCCCCGTACATTTGCCTTTAAGACAGAATGATATAAACGTTATCACTGCCCGCGCCAAGCCGAGTATTCTGTTGCTGAGGTTTGTTTATCGTAAGTGTGAATAGATCGCAATGTTGCCAAATGGGTGGGGACTGTGGGCTAACTGTATGTAAAAAGGCGTTGATGCAAAGCTCATTGGACTGACTTGATTCGTTTAATTTAGCTAATACATAAAATATATTTATGAACTGGTACACGGTTGCGTGGAAAGTGCAGAGTCCGGTGATGTCATAGGACTCCTGGGTTACGCATTCCCAAAAGTGAGTGACCTCTAAATGGCTAATACTTGAGATAGCGGCGGCGGATGACGTACTGGGTTGCCAATATTGTTCTCCAGTTTGGGGGAATGGTGTACATTTTAGCGATTTTGTGGGGGATTTACCAGAGGGTAATTAAAACCTGTGGGTATCTGATTTCGTTTTTAACCATGTAGAATTAACCACTACCAAACAACAATTTTAATCCTTATAGTTTTAATCAAGTACGCCACGACAAAACATACAAACACCAGCTCTCGAGTGCACGATATAGTGTAATATATTCTTTGATTCTATTCGATCTATCTGGCAACCCTGTATGGCACTCTTCGTCGCCACCTCGCAGTAAAACTGCGACGGCCTAAGGGTCAAACTACCCGAGGCAGACGTAAACAAATCCCGAGATAAACGTCACGAGCCCGCCCCTGCGCTCTACCCCCACCCCGAGATGCTGGATGGCGCACGACGGTGGACCATTCCCATAATCACGTTCTCACTTCGCTCGGCATAACTTGACTTGTCTGCAGCCTGAGTGATCGGTAGCCCAGCTCGCGCCCGAAACCTACCGAAGTGGTACGCGCGACAGTCAGTTGGTTAAGCGACAGCGGTGGTACCGGTACCTCCTCAGCAGCACCATTACTGCCTTATCCACGGACATGGTGACCACCACCGGTGTGACAAATAATATGATGCAGACGACAGATAGTGTTTCCCCTTCACCCCCAAGTACTTCCCCGGGTGCAGGCGGTACAAATGAAACTGGAACCACCATCAGGAGGGTTAACGAGAATAGAAGGGTGAGTTATTATTATTTTTTTGTTATTTGGTGTAACTATAAAAGCATTGTTATGGGGGACAGTCAAACAGGAAGTGTTGATACTTTATAGAACTGTAATCAAATCAAATTTTATTAAAGCTCTATCTTTGACCACCCAATCATCTTTAATGTTGAATGTGGCTAAGGAAACCTGTTCAGATATTGATTCTATTTCGACTTGATATCATCATATTACATACACTCCTTGTTTTTGCACATACCAATTAAAACTGAAATTATACGAAATAATGACACCGATCAGAAAAATCGTATCATCAATCAATCATATAGGATCATGTCACAAGTGGAAATGCATCGCAGCTTTATTAGCCTGTAATAAATAAAATAGCATATAAGTATGCTTGTTTATAACATAATATACATATTTTGCAGTTGTGCCCATGTCATACTTTAATATTCTAAATCTGAACTACTTGACGTATCAAAACATTAACACTTGTATGATTTTGATCTTTGATGAGAAAGTTTGAAACCGATTCATTGTATTTCAAACTCTTTTCTTAACTTTTAATAGGTTTTGGTCCCTACTTGAGATAATCAGGTAGGTACTCTCAATGTTTGAACATTCTTGGAAACTGATAAAAGCATTTTTTTGACATCTTAATATTTTATTTCCTAACCCACTTTCAAATCAAAGGCTGGTATTTTTATGATTGGCCAAAAGACCTGTTGGAGCTCAAAGATTGGAATTATATCATAAACCAAAGGGCACACACCAACCATTTTCCTATTCTCAAATTAATAGGAACCTTAAATTTTTCCTGGAAGAATTCGGATTTGGGGATCATGCGGATTATGTACCTGAATCTACCCTTTCTATTATATACTCTATTAACATCTAAGTATTATTTGCTACTTTACTATTTCCCTGAAATTTTGTCCTTGATTGAGCTGTATTTATACCATTATTGCAAATACACATTTTTTCAAAATGTCTATATTGTTTATGTCATATGGAGACATGTGTTTCCGAGAACGCTGTTTCTAAAATTTACACATCATTTTTTGCCTTGAGACATGAAATCATACGAGTAACCTACCTGTCAATAAGCAGCTTCTGTTTTTTAAAAAAAATGTTTTAAGAAAGGCACGTCATCCTCTTATCTCAAAATTTTATCAGTGAAATCCTACGCTAGCATGGACGATAGTAACGTTATCTCTATAGTCTCTAATTATTATATATCTAATAGTTTTCATTACTTTTTATATAACCACGTGTTGCAATATGTTCAACGGTCATATATTTTCGTGATAAAATTATCTAGCGTGTCGAGCTTTGACGTCTAAAATTTTGCAAGCAATTGACTTGTCCGTGAGTTTAATGGTAGGAGGATGTTATCGTCACGTAACACAATCTCAAAACGTTTATCGACAGGTTTACTCACATGCTACATACATTGAAATAAAAAGAACCAATGCAAGCTCTATGTACAGTAGGTATATAGACAAATTATTATTGAGCTGTATTTCTTTTTTAACTTGTTTGATTAATACACCAACCTGTATACATAATTCGATATAGCATAATGCTCACTTATACATAAATAAATTCATTAGATTCCCTTCAATAAAAAATTAATTGAAAAAACTGGAAATATGAAGGACAAAAATATATAGGAAAAGCAAAACAATTATAAAAAAAAGAAGCAAAGTTCATTGAATTCTAGAAAACCAACCACGCTTGTGTTAAAATTTTGTAGCATAACCATTATTATCAATCACCGCCTGGCATCGTCTCGGCATAGATTGTAGAAGTTTCTTGTTATAAGATTCATCAATCTGTCTCCACTTTTGCTCTAAAGCGGCAAAAAGTTCATCCTTGTTTGAATAATTTTTATCTCGTATTTGGTTATCTAAGTATTCCCATAGATTTTCAATGGGACTGTGAAGGCCAATTGAGAACTGGGATTTTTTCATCCAGAAAGAATTTCTTTACGAGATTCGAAGTGTGCTTCGGGTCATTATCTTGCTGGAAGATTGATCTTAAGGGCATATTGTCTTCCATATAGGGTAACATGACATGCTTTAGTATTTCTGTGTATACAAACTTATCCATAATGCCATCTATTCTATGTAAAGGTCCCATCCCAGACCCCGAAAAGCACCACCAAACCGTAACAGACCCGCCTCCATGTTTGACAGTGGGCAAACTGTACTTGGGGTTCAATCTTTGTCCACTAGGACGTCTGACGTAATGAACACCATCTGATCCAAACGTATTGAACTTGGATTCGGCACTGAAACATACCCTCTTCCAGTCACAGATGCTCCAATCAAGATGCAACCGTGCAAATTGTAATCGATCCTTACGGTTTTTCCTCGAGATTAGCAGCTTCTTACTCAGGAGACGTGCAAATAACTTCAAATCATTTAATCTTCTACTTATAGTTTTCGTAGAAACACTGACAATTCCATTTATCTCGATTTCGGCTTTTATTTATCTTGGGGTTTAAAACGGATCTTTGGACGAAATTACTTTTATTGATCTAACGGATCTAGCATTTAGCTTTCTAGGCCGACCACTTCTCTTAGAGGCTTCCAAGATACCTTTTTGTTTATATTTGTTCAACGTTGCACAAACTGCTTTACGGTTCAGCTTCAATTTTTTGGCAATATCGACTTGAAATTGACCATGTATAACTCAATTATCTTAGTTTTCACATCGAAAGACATTTACGGGCCACGCGGAATGATCTTAAAATCACTCAACTTATTCCACAATACTTGATGAACACAAACTAATCCTCTTCTGACACGATACCTGTACTAAACTAATGTTGAAAAGAATTTGTCTACATATTTTTGTCCCTCATAAAAAAGTGCTTATATTCAGACTTGTATTGCGTTCATTGTAGATAATGTAAAAACAAGGAATTTAGTTTTTCTACTAATAACGCAATTGTTTATCGAGCAATGAAGTATGAATTCGTTTTCTAAAGGTATTTAGGTAAATATTCATATTTGTCTATATACTTTTGTCCATTACTGTATATATCTGAATTTCGCGCATAAAGTGATAAAAATTATTAGAAAACGTAGTTCTGTTTAAGTACAGAGCTTAAAAGTCGTATAAGACATTATCATCCAAAACAAGCAAATACGAAGGCAAATTGAAGAATTTCTAGACAACCGTACTCCTTGGTCATAACAACTTTCGGGCAGTCGAAGTTTATTGACGACGGAGTTAATCAAAATTATTGAGAATATGATTAGTTTCCTCTTATTTGAAGACTCATTTCCTGGAGGCAAACTCTTCTTGATTAATAAGTATATATTTTTTCTGCACACCCACAAGCAGTGTCTAGACGTTGGACTTTGTGGAATCTGCAATAACTGGGTATGTGATGATATCAACACGCATACGATCCGGTCATTGCACATGACAAGTGGTACAATATTGCGTATTGCTGTTTATTATTATCATTCCTAACAAGGCCAAGGCTTGTTATTGGTCCATTTGCGCTTCCGTTTCCGCCGTTCGTTAACCGTTTCAATCCGGCGCTAGATGGTCCATTTTCGCTGGCGTTGAGCGTTTCTATTGGCGCTGGTAACCGTTTTCCCACCGATTTCCAAAATCAACCGCACACACGACATTTGAGCACGCTCGTCTGCGGCTAAAAATAAAACAAAAGAACGTCGATGTTGGAAGGCGGCCAATGTCGGCACGCGCCTACTAGATGTTGCTAGATTTCCCACGACGTTCGAGGCGACGGCGCATAGTACAGGGAAATTGGCTAACCAAAGCGGCACTAACTTCTCCGACGCCAATGCATCTTTCGAATTGGAAACAGATGCCCACCCTGGGAGTGTTCGATCTGCTGTACTCCAAGAAGAGAACTGACATAATAATTTGTTGATTCTGATCCTGATTGGAACAGATAAAAGTAACAGCGTATACAATAAAAGCGGTATCACATATAAATAAATCACACGACAGAGTATAAAGACCATTGAACCGTAGCTCTTACGTTTTGTAAAAACACTACAGTACGCCTAACTATTCTCGGGAACCGAAAAGGAAGAGAGCTGCAAAACATATCGCAAGCGTGTATTGCAAATTCCAGTGTCAGGCCCCTTATTGAAAGAATTTGGACATATGAACATCTCGGACGAGCACAGCCCTCGTTTATTTGTTTCCTGATGACGTATGCCACTACCGACACCTAATGACATAGTACTATGAATTTACTTATATTTATGCACTCTTGCTGTTCTAAATTATCAACTTGATCTACAGTAAAGTACACTTTTATCAATTTTTCATTAATACAAAACAATTTGGAGAAGTTCAGTCATTTCGCTACTCCTAATATCCCAAATATCCAAACCTTGTTTTGCGGGACAACGGAAAAAATAAAAAAAGATAAATGTAAATACTGTATACAAGTTAATTCATTGCTCTTTCACTTATGCTTTGACGTTTTGCAATAAACTTATCCTCACTTGGGTATGCTATTGTATACATTGTTCACATAGCCTACAGTGTCTACATGAAAATTTAAGTTAACGTCCCATCAGACTAAAGTGTCAGAAGCCCGTTTGCTGTATAAGGCTATATTGGCTTTATTTTTGTTCTGGTGAGGAATTGACCGCCAGAAAAGTATCACGATAATGACGGTATTATGATTCGTGGTTGTCCCATACTACTTTCATATTTTTACCGAATAATAAACTAATATTCCTGGACTAACAGCCTTGCTCTGGCGAGACGGTTGTATTTCTAAGTATAGGAAGGTGCGCAATGATTAAATGTGCGTTCTTAGGAATATCACACTAGAACGTCATCCATGCAAGGGCTGGGAAAACGTAAAGAAAAATTAAAAGTGCAAAAAACTCATACCTAAATTTAAGTTTCTCATTCGTTCTCGTTCCTACCCATTATACCTTGTGCGAAATAGAACGTTTTTCATACGACTATGGAAATGTTCGCCTCTTTCAGAGTTGTTAGATGTCAGAAAAAAATTCTCGTTTGCTTGACGAGTTATTACTTCCCCCAAATCACCGTGACATCATTACGTGGGAGGTACAGAGTCAGCATACTTGACGTCATTTTTCCGAAATCCTTTGAACGAACGCTATATCTGGTAAACTGTACAGATGAGCTGGCTAATGGAATTGTCACCAATACCAGACCGCTTGAAGCGAAGTATTAGTATTTAGCGTTCAATACTGACGTTTTGTATTTGTTTCAGAGTAATAAGCCAATAATGGAGAAGAGACGTCGAGCCAGGATCAACAACTGTCTCAATGAACTGAAGACTCTAATTTTGGACGCCATGAAAAAAGATGTAAGTTTCCGTCAAGATCTTGTGCTTTTAAATATATATTTCAACGATAAGGTTACCGTTACCGAAACAGAATAAAGTTTCAAAACCAATCGCCATTCCTCGAAGACACCTCTGATCCTGCATACTAAAATTCGTAAGAGCCAAAAGACAATGAAATTCCTGCAATAGAAGTGGTGAATATTGCATTGTTCTCGTTCTACGGAGAATTGTCTGAGAACCGTTTTGATCATGTACATTAGTTTTTGATACCAGAGCTGCTTTGTGATTGGATACTGGCAGAATCAGCACGTTTCTGAGACAGTTCTTTGTAAAACCCGATCAAGGTTTATATGAGTGCAGGTCGTCGAGATACATCTTACATTCTGAGTTGGCCAAGATTTTACGTGTGTTCAAAATCTTAATACAACTAAGACTCGACTGACTATTAAAAATTGTTTCGCAATAATATCGTCGAACAACATCATGACTGCTCGTCAGCTTTTTATGTATTGTAACACCACTGCATAATATTTTAATTACGTCAATAAAAACGTAATCACAGGCACACGTGACGTGCCGCTAGCACGTGGTTGACAAAACAATAAGCAGTGATTATGCTTCTGTTATTCTATTTTGTTTCTAATATTTGTTATGCGGTTAGGACAGCGTGGCGTGGTTATTTTCAACAACGTATGTCGTAGTACTCTGATAAAACACGTATTTATATTTAAACTACTAGGATATTAACTTGAGCGCTGCAGTCAGATATATTTATATGTGGTTATCTTTCTCATTATTAGCCAATCCATATAATGTGGAATACAAGAATACAAGAATTTGTTTTTCCGTGGCTTAGAAAATTTTTTCACAATTTCCTTCTGTTAGGTACGACATATACGCGAACATTTATACATGAGGCTCTAGTTATTAGTTTTCTTTAACGGGGGATTCAAAATGTTGCCATAACGGTATATAGGTGACTCGAAATAAAAGACATAAAAGTAAAGTAATACAAGATATGCACGGACGCCACATCATTTCAAAAAAATAATTTCTAGTTAGTGTTTAAAATATCGTTTTCTAACAGAGCTTTCTTCTCTTTACAGCCCGCTAGGCATTCTAAATTGGAGAAGGCCGACATTCTGGAGATGACAGTAAAACACCTTCAAAATCTCCAAAGGCAACAGATCGCGATGTCTGCAGCAACAGACCCTTCGGTGGTGAACAAATTTAAAGCTGGTTTCAGTGAATGCGCTACTGAAGTTGGACGTTTCCCCGGCTTGGACCCAATAGTTAAAAGAAGACTGCTTCAACACCTTGCGAATTGCCTCAATCAAACCGTCAAACCCCAAGAAGTACCTCAAGTCCAGGTGCATATCTTACCAAACACTCAGAAGAGCCCTGAGCAGCAGGTACCCCAAAGCAGTGGAATCATTCTGAGCAATGGTCGTGGTGGCGGAGTCCAGTTAGTACCTACCAGACTACCAAATGGTGATATTGCATTGGTACTACCTACCTCCATCACGCAGCAGCAACAGAGTGTTGGTATGGTATCACCAATTCCGCTGTTAGTGCCCATAGTTCCTGAAAGGTCGCCTTCCACCACATCGGCGACCAGCTCTTCATCGCAGTACTCACCAAGTCATAGTCCTGAGCCTATGGACATGTACTGCGAAGCTAAACCGTTATCGTTAGTGGTGAGAAAAGAAGAACCGTTGGACGATAAGCCTTGGAGGCCTTGGTGACTAAGCACTTTGTGATTGGATAAGAAATTTGTGATAGATATCTTCATAAGAGGACCAGTATTAAATGCCATACTTCGTATACACTCTATAATAATAACCATGATACAATGGGACAGATACTGTATCTATCCTGTTCTGAAATATTAAAATTTACAATATACTTTCTGTATCCTTTCGATTTGATTGTACTGAACCTGTGATCTAATCAATTCTCTGTTGCGTTCTTTCGTGTATATATCACTCTCGCTACCGAGCTCAGAAAGTGAATAGATCTGATTATAATGATCACTCTATCTTTCTCTTGTACCATTCAGTACAACAGTAATCAGTTCGAACGGATTCAGCTAGTTTTTCTGAAAGAAAAAAGTGGATAGCAAAAACTATTGTAGAATGTAGATCATTGTTGAAATCTCATTATGGCTAGCAACATACAGGGTGTTCTGAAAGTTCAGCATATCTTTCCAGAATCAACTACGTTTAAAATAAAAATTCCAATGATTGCGCTAAAACATCAGCAAACAAGTAAAAAGAAGTTGTAAAATGTTAGTTATATCGGGAATTTCAAGTACCACCACTTGTTTTGCATCATTTGGGGCTGTCTGGATCTTCTACCGTATCCACCTGGTCGGCTTTTGTACGATGTAAATACACCTACTCACCTCGGGACGGAATCTCCTGAACGATCCGAATACACTAGGGAAGTATCAGTATAATCTTGAAGACACTTGCCTTAAACTAACGGCAAATTGATAACTTCGTTATTGTTATATGTAGGAAGGTGCCAGTTTTCCAAATCTGAGTGTAAATAAGCTAGGGTAACTTATACAGTATACACCGCACAGCACCCGGTTTGCATTCTGACGCAATCGTATTAGAAAACATCGCACCTTCTGACGCACAGGATGCAGGGTCGGGTTTGGCTCACTCCGAGCTCTTTGAAATTCAAAATTTCGGTTATGTTAAGGCTTTGGTGTATGTATTTCTAGGAAAACTTGTAAAGGAAAGTCCCAACTTTAAAGACACTCTATAACTTTTTTCCATTTTGATTCTACTTTCCTATTTGAGGTTATGCTTTCCATTTTCATTGACTGTTTGAAGTGCAATCAGCAGTATCTGTCCTTTCATTGTACACAGAGACGCTTTTTAATTTTTGTTGTGATAAGTTGTATATATTTTTGTAAAAGTATATTGTATATATATATAGCTCTTGTGCCTTTAAACAGCAAGATCTTTGATGTCTTCCATAGTGTTGTGTTGTGATTATATATTAAATTAAATATATATGTTTTTAAAGAAATAATTCGTTACTGCTTCAGACAATACTCCCATTTCAGGAATCATTTTTTTTCACTACTAACCCGAGAAGTCGGCATTATTGACCGCAATGTTGTATTAGGAAGTAACTTTTCTCCCAAGGTAAATGAAAAATTCTTGGGAAAATAGTAAATCTCATCTGAATTGTATTTTCCTCAGTTCATTTTGTCGGTTTGACAAAAATCGGATCTGTATTTCTAAATACAGTCTTGATGATATTGGGACACTTGGTTGGTGAGGTTCAGACCTCCAAAATCTGTTTATTTGAACACCCTAATCAGACAGCAGCCATCTAGGTATTTGAGAGTATTTGTGAAATGAGTAGAAAACGTCGTGGCCGCTGATTGACGCTCAGGTCAGGGTGACTAATAAATAGATATGTCTAAGTCTGATGGATTCGAGTGTGGTGATATAAAGTGTTAGTAGTGAAAAACATTCTATACCCAGTTCTCAACTTAGAGACGCAATGTACTATTAAAGACACTGACTCGTTAATTGAGTTTCTACATTTCTATTCCTTTAGTCGCGAAAATAGGAAATAGAAATTGCGAAGAGAATAAATCATATGAAGTATATCACTGGCAAGTAGACCACATCTACTTTACAGCCAGAATCGTCAGCCATCGAGCGGTCATGTGATGACCAGCCGATTAAACGTGAGCAGAGGTCGCTAACATCAGCTAAGCGCTTTTCGCAGGGGTCGATTGTGGTGCGATAGATTTCGCTGTCTTATTTCAATAAATTATACCCGTATTATATTTCAAACATGTCTAGTGTATGTAGGAAAATGCACCTTAGATGTTCATTTAACTAATATATGTTTGGCAAATGCTGCGTAAGATTTCTGATTGTTTGAGATGAAAATGGTATCAAATCGGAGAAGTACTAATAACATTCAACATTTAAATTAAAGTCTGTGAAAAAAACCCGATTTCAGACACCGTAAATTAATATCCATTTAAGATTCACTAACAATGATAATCAGAGGAACCCCGACAACAATACTTACTTTGTGTATCTCTTATGCCTATTGGATTAAACAAAGAATCATGCAAAGGAAGAATTTGAAAAACACTAAAAGGAAAAAGTGTTTACTGTGGGCTTATCTATGTCGTCCCTAACTTAAACGGTGCTTGTTTTCCACATGTACTTTTTAGAGCTTTGTATATTACGACTCGGTGAATAGCACGTTTTATTGTTTCCTACATTAACGATAACAGCGATAAATACGTGTTATGCTACGCTCCTGACGCAAGCCATACCACGATTTTAGTCAGTATTTTGAGCGAATTCTTATTGATAGTGCAGTGGATCAATGTAAACAAAATTTAAATGTGCAATGAAAATTGTCAGGGATACTAATTAGATCGTTTTCCTAATCAAGCTTGTTTGAATCAAGGTGGTGCTTCAACTAATCGTTTTGGATGAAAATTCTTGCTTAACGAGGGAAAATATTATATTATTCAATATACGTTCTATAACCTTACCAGCATTGCTTATGATCCCAACAACTCTATAATCCTCAATCCCATGACACAGGAAACGTTGTAGTTTTAAGAGATGAGTTGGTTAGACAAACTACTGGCTCAGTTAGATTAAAGGCACTGTATTTCAACAAAAATGCACGGATTCGATCTGGAGAGGCAGATACTTAGGGTTTAATCTTCAAAGTAATGAGGCGTAGTTGAGTAAGTCTGCGGCAGGTGTGTGGAAGTTGTGTATTTGGGCTGGAAAAAATCTGCAAAAGTGTTGACAGTATCTTGCGGTTTGTTAAGCTGAATATTATTAGGCATCATGGTGTCAGGAATTTGAGAAGTATTTTTCAAGGAATTAATAAATGAACAAAACTTTTGACAGTTAGTAGATATATTCCCTGTTCAACATTAGTGGTATACATTTTATACGCAATATCAATGCTAATTTTTGTGTTTCTTCGAATATTCCGCAAAGCATCGCAGTCAACGGGATTACAGGCAACTTTCAACCGTTTCTATAACTAGGGAGGGTATTATTTATTAACCACTGGCTTTGATTGTTTCACGTGAATATTACGGTTGCTATAAAATTGGTCCACTTAGCTTTTCTTACAAAACCTAGGATGTACGTTTCAAGCGTTTTTATTCTTTGTCTTACCTGCTGTTTATAAAGGACTTGACGTCTTTTTAGGCTTTGGTTTTTTATTTTCATTCGGATTAGAAATACTGTATTACTCATTCAGCCACAGGAAAGTACTTGTCACAAATGTTGTACTGGAATTACTGTAAATGCAACTTGATAGTTTGAGTATTCCCGTACTATACCAATACGTAAGACTATCGTGGCATCTAAGCGGTTGTTTATCCAAGCCACTGAATTTCATTGATAACAGTTGCGTGTGCTGTGGAATTTTCCGACCGTGTATTGTTTTCTGGCTCGTAAATTGTATAAATATTGAAGTTTGGCTGCCATCACGTTATCCGCTCACATGTCGTAGGCTCATTCATTTTGATTAGTTACACTTACATGCGAATTAAAATATCACCTTTATGACCCAGCCTTACGTTTACGTGCAAAATTGTATAAACAACAGTATTAACAAAAGAAATCATGAAAGTTAATATGTATGTGCCTGTATTTACATTTAAATCTGAGGATTTTTCATGTCGTCGCAGCCTGTTACCTTTAACTTGTATAGGTAACCAAGGTAGCTCTGTGACACCTTATGAACTTATGTTGTTTTTTCTTGGCTTATTAGTTGTAGTTCCGCAATCTTTTAGTATCGCGGCTCCTATACTAAGTGACAGAAAAAGAACACCCAGTAATAATTAATTTATTACAACAACTTGGTAAATACTTGTCACTTAGGGTTGAGCAATTGATAAAAATTTCAGAAAAATACAACCGTTAAAAATGTAAAAAAGTTGTAGTTTCTCGGGCCTCCACGATGTCTTATGCACTCTTGAGATATCTAGTCCCAGGTAACGTATACATCGTGCCGAATTGCCGCTGGAGTCTGTGGAAGATACGTTAAACGAACTAGTATTCTTCCCATAATGTCCCAGATATGTTTAGTTGGTCAAATATCGGGAGATCTAGCGGCCAAGGCCGCAAATCGACTTGATTGTCTTCAAAACCTACCAACGTGATCAACAACATCAAATATGACATCTCTGTAAACAATATCCCCCGATACCATAATTCCAACAGTGTGGTGCGCAACGTTTCAGTAGAAAATTGAGAATCTCGTCTTTTATCTCGTCGCCTTCTCACCCTTGCACGGCAATCATGCATCTCCAGAGAGAATCTGGATTCAACACTAAAGATAATTGAGACAATGGACACCATTCAATGTCCCAGTTCAACCGTTCTGTGCACCAGGTCAGTCGATCACTTCAGTGCCTAGGAGTCCAAAACTGTTGCTTCAGCCATAAAAAATTCATTGTAATAGGCTTTCCATTCTCTCCAAACCATTGGTCCATGTCCGACAGCAAGCCACCACCATATTTATCTGTGCACACTAGTCGCTATTTAAGGGCCAGACAGCCTCACACAAGCCCATTATTCGCCCCCTAATCAAGCTCACTATCGTAGCGAAAATACACAATGATCCCTACTTAATTTTTTGTAAGAACATACAATATCACAAATACCACTTCATCGATATGGCTGAAAAGCTGATCGTGTTGTTTCCTTTTCTAACAGAGACGTACCTAGAAAATTTTTATAATAAATTCCCCATTACTGGGTGTTCTTTATCCTATGCACTAAGTACATAAATAACAAAGAGAGCTTGGTGATAAGAGATTGCAACTGGTTACGACTAGTTGAACTGGGTGTATTATTACCACAGCAACAGAGGAACAGTCAAACCAACTAATACCCGTCAGTTCGCATAGTAGAGCCAAATCATCGATCACACGTCAATGAGAGAAAGACTTGTGAGCAGTGGTACATGCAGTTTTCTTATGTGAGATTTGTACAGGGTATGGACGTTTGTGGTAGGAAGATCATTCAGCCTCTTCCCAGTAGATGCTCAAGTTCGCAGGGTGGGTGGGTTCTTGACAAATCATGTCCTCGTCCACTAACCAGACGTACTACTACTCAACGTTACGGTATCAATCTTTGTAACCTAACCCTAACTAGAAATCGTTTTGGCACTGCCAAGGCCGCATGCCGAGTACTAATTTCGACTAAGCAATGGGCCGAACTTATGCTACCAGAAAACCCATTCATGACTAAATACTGGGGTTAAAAAGCATACAGGATTAACATTTAATTGACTTAACCGATCTTCATTAAAAGGCGGATTTTTCTTATACCGAAGCCTAAACACCGGGGCTCGGCTATAAGGATCTTAAAGACACTTTGTCATGCAATTTTTGAGCTGGGAAAACCTGCACCCGGCAGATTATTCCACAGTCTCGAAACGCCAGGAATAACGGAGCGGTCGTGCCTGCCAGTTATGGATGTACGAAGTTCGACAAAGGTTAAGATGGGAGGCCGAAGTCAGGCGGCTCTGACTAGCAGGCTCATCGTCCGGCAGCATTATGAAGAAGAGCTCTGAAGAGCAAAACCCGTTGACACAGCGGTAGAAGAGAGGTCAACAACGGCCTGACTTGTCGGGGCTAAAAGATATCGAGACTGTTCCGTAGAGAGAAGTCATGAACAGTCGAACACACCCTATTTAGGAATAGTCTCTTACTTTGGCTTGTTCACCCCCACTTCCTTCTCTCGTAAACAGATCGTCAAAATGGCTAGGAATCATCTCGACAGACAAGTCTTTCGATTAAAAAGAAAGGGAACTCAGATCGGCACCCCTATTTAGCAAGTACAAAATAGCAAGGAGGGCGACCCCTGATCTCCATAATTGTCACTTTGGAACCAGCCAGAATTGAATTCATATTCAATTGCGGTAGCTGTTTGTGTTGGTTTAATGCCAAGGTAATTGAGATATGTGCTGTGGCTCT